CTGGTCACTGCTCCACTCCTCTTGCCTGCTCTCTAGCTGGGCGATCCTCTGCTCAGCTCCTAGCATCTTCTGGCCGGCGTCTCTTTGTCTTTTAATCTGCACATGACCCTTATTGTCTTTTACCAAGAAGCTCCTCCGCCTGAACCAGGTGCTCAGGTAACACAAGCTACTGCCTTTTCCTCTCTTCAAAGAAGGTTCTGCAAACTGATCGCTTCCACAAAGCATGCCAGTACCATTACCTCACGCCTGGATCACGAATTGTTGCCTTCTTGTATGCTGTATGCACTTTTCTGTCCCCAATATGGGAAAAAAAGAACTAAATGAACTTCATTGTGGAGCAGCAGACAACATCTGCAGAGCCTCTGTCCGTCTCTAACTTGTTAGCTAGCTGCTTTCTGAGGGAACATCTCCCATCTCCCAGTTCTCTCTAAATTATAACTTCTATCACTACATCTTCCTTCTTAACAATAAATACAAAATCAATTAACACCCTCTGCAGAAGTGAGGTTACTGGCACTACACTCTGGAGTTTGTTGTTAATTATTCTGATTTACATATGCCTATGTTTACTGAACCCAGGATCACTACACACCTGCTAAACTTATTATTACCTGTACCATGTGTACAACTGTGCCCCTGCTGAAACCTGTATACAGTGTAATCTCAGTAAGACTGAAAATTCATTCAGGTCAGGATTCTTGGGGGTTTGATTTGTTTATATTTAACCTATTCTGCAGCACAAAACACACCTATGCCAGCCCACAACATGAATACAAACATTTGAAAGTTGAGAGGCACATAGGAAACAGAAATATTACAGGACAGCAAAAAGGATTCTGAGACAGAGTCTAAGGATCAATAAAGAGAAAATAGTTGATGTTAGGTCAGAAACATCCTGGGTGTAACTGCTCTATTGTCAGAGCATCTGGCCCAGGTATTCAAGGGAATACAGGCAAGTGAAGAAGATATGACTAATAGAGGCCTGTTAATAATTCCCATATTAAAGTAATATCTTGCTTTAGCAACTGAACCTGATACATATATGGATCTACAAGAAAACATGCCATTTTTATGCACAAAAAAAAATACAGTTGGGTAAAAGCAGAATATAAAAGAAAACAAAAACAGCTAAATAATGGGGGTTAAAAAAATAAAATGCCTCCATTTTTGTTTCTTTTTTCATCTGACTTGTTTGATTTGGGTATTTGTATGTGTGAGAATGTTTGATTTCATATTTAGTGTGTGGGTGGGTGTGCGCGCACACACATGGGCACATACACGTACATGCACATGTGGATGTTTCCAGGAGTGCAAAAAGACACACACACACACACACACACACACACACACACACACACACACACACACACACACACAAAGGTCCTACCACCTGCATCATGACCAACACCTTTTGTTCTACAGCTTCCCTTGAGTAAAGTCACTCATTGGTTGCAATGCAAGACCTATGGCTAAACCACTGAGTGTCACCATTTTTATCACAGTTTAAACTTGAAAGCAACTTCACTGTTTACAGATTAAGTGAAATGAGGAAAGAAACCAGATATATTTGCTACATACTAGCCATCTGTATTCAGCAGGAACAGCCCTATTTTGGTAGCCATTTTTGTACCCTCTGTCCCTCCAGAAATCTCTGAGCTCCTCTAGGAAGGTTACGTCATTTTGAAGAGAAAAATGTAACAGTAACCTTCTTGCTCTTAGAATTTGATACACAACTCATATAATAACTTTTCAGACTTGAGTACACAGGGTACCTCAGGAGGAAGGATATATGCAACTGCAGGAGGTGAGGAAATGTCCCAGAAATTGTTGACATTTTATAATTATTAACAAAGGAAGTTAGAACATTGTGAAGACAAACAGCTACCACACCAAGCAGTTGTACAACAAATCACCCAGAGTGAATGTGATGACAGCAAAAGCATCATGTTTTTACTAGGAAAGATTACAAGACATTTTCTCTGAGGTATGAGAGGCCTTACAGGGCTTCTCCTCTACATCAAGCACACAGAAATTACTTCTTCAAATAAGTATCATAAAGGATAAAATTAAGAAATGCATTAGGCTGAATAGCAGGAAAGCCTTCCTGATGGAAAAAAAAAATCAATTTGTTCCTGGAATTACCTGCTGAAAACTGTCATGAAAGCCCAGTCATTTGGGTCACTTCAAACTCAACTGAATAAAGCACAGCCAATGTATGTTGGTGGGGAGGTTCACTCACTGAGCTCAGGGAGATGGGAAAATAAATCTCTTGATAGTGTCTCCATCTCAAACTTTCATGAGGACCTGAAAAGACTCTCTCCTCAAATCTCTCTTTCTATCTGTGAAAATTCTTGATCTCAGATCACTGCAGTAATATATTAAGACATTCCTTCTCTATGCCCCTTTCCACTATTACCAGCAGCTCAGAGCCACTTGATAAAGTGATATATGAATAATTGGTTGCAGCTGTTTTGCATTCATCTCAACCTGGAGACTTTGTAAGCCATAAAATTATTCTAAAAGCCTTTACTATGCCTCTGTTCAAAGCATTTTAGGATCAGGTTTGCATTAGTTCCCATTCTAGTGGAATGCAGACTTAAGGAGCAGAACCAAAAATAGGCTACTAGAGAAAAACATGGCCTGCAGCAATATTGTAGCAAAAACAAACAAAAACTTTGTTGACACCTTAAAGTTTGATTTATATTGTTTTGTAAATGTACAAAACCACTCCTCAGCTGCTTCACACACATCCCAATACTAAGCTGCTTTATATTCTGCCCAGAAAGCTGCCACAGTGCTTGTAGGATAACTTGTGACAGCTTTAGGAGCTGCAAGCCCCGTGATCTTGTAGATCTCTTGAATACAAGACCTAAGCCATCTGGATTTAGTCACTTTACTAGCCCTAAAGGCCCTTCTTATGAAAGTGTAAACAGATTAATTACTTTTCCTGCCTTGAAAACCCCTCCTGCTTTAAAAATAAAAGTTTAGGGTTGTTTTGGACATGCAAAGGACAGACGAATTTTCTGAGGACATTTCAGTGAGACAAAAGCATGGAGCTCTCCAATTCAAGAGAAAAGCTATGTTAATGAACAGCAGAACTAGGTGTATCTATTTCACAACAAATGACAATTGACACAGAGAAAATGAATGTCCAACACAAACAGCTTGGAGAGGTAGACCAAATAAAAAACTTTGCAACTGAAAATGGAAGCTCAAAGTGAGACTCTCAGTTAATTTATAGAAAACAACAAAGACCTGTGGTATGCCGGGCCCAACAGAACTCTGCACATCCCGGGTCTCTAGACCTGGGCCCTCTGGAGAGCTGCCAACATTTTGCAAGGCACCCATAGCACTTAACAGTTTGGCAGACAATTCTCTTTAGCATTTTTTTTAAGGAACTACCCTGGAAATGTCTCAAAGTGCAAGGAAACTTGAATACGAGCAAATAATCTCTTTTTCCCATGAAGTCAAAGCTAATCAAAGTCTACACTGCAGAGAGATTCAGTTTTCCATAGAACTGATCCTTCACAAGCCCCTCTTGAGTAAATTTATCCCCACATTTCAGTTCATCCAAGACTGATGACCCAGCCTTAGGTAACAGAAAGGAACCAGAGTCAAAAGATTTTGAAACACTAGCAGATAAGGAAGGGGGCAATAACTACCTATACATAAAAGCTGCAGCCTTCAATGGAGCCATCTATCTTCTCTCCCTGGCTTAGCTTGACTCTCAGCATCCTGAAGGAAAAGGATACTGGGCATGTCTACACATACCCTACTGTGCAGTTGTTACTGTGCAATCATTTAGTATTTTCTTTACCAAGTACTAAATGACTGTGCAGTAACCGCCATTCGTGCACACTCCCAAGCAGTACATGGATCGTGTCTGAACCTACTGCACAGTAGCATCAGCATCACGGTTCATGCCTGCCTACGCTATGTCACTGTAATGATGAGCTACATCACCATAGCTGGTGGCTACAGCAACATAGTATCTCATGTAGACATGCTCACTGAGAGACATGTATGCATTTGCAAACTATTAAAAGTACCAGTGACTGCATTAAGCAGATGTTTATCCCTGAAACTGTGTTTTCCTGGTCATTTAAGTCATTAAAGATCTTTGATGGCAGCCTCCATTTGGCCTGAAAACAACTAGAAGTACCTTTTCATTAATTGTTTTTACTCCTAGGAATGCAAATTGTGGAGTTTCTCTTTCTCCTGTGCAGTCAGTCACCTTATGCCTCAGCTCTTCCTTCTTTTATCCAGGTTCCCCTACTATGAATGCACATCCCTAGTGTACCCTGTCCTGTCTCTCCAATTTCATTGCCTTTTATTTGTAAGGGCCTATACCAAAACGTGGTTTATTTGTTTTGTCTCTAGGGAATTGCACTGTTCTGAACTCCACTCTCCTTCAAAAACACTGGAAAAACATGAAGGTAAGAAGACAGAGAAGGTAACAAGCCCCACATTTAAAACATAGTTTGCGGTCCGATACTGCCAGAGAGAGTGTCCCAAGTGTTAAATATTGCTCACAATGCTGCATAAAGACACTCTTCCCAGATCACCCAGTTCAAATGCTGTTGTAGACAAGGTTAATGTTTTCTAACAAGGGTAGTCTTGGTTCTTTGCTTCTCTCAGCAGCTGCCACTACAACAAACTCCAAAAAGCGTGAAGTCAATAAATCAAGAGAGACGATTAAGAATTCTAATGAACATGCTATTCTTCTTCGGGAGATACCCTGTGGAAAACCCACATGCTATCCCCTAATATAAATGGAACCAGGACAATAGACCTGGATCTGCAGAACACACTTTAGACAACTAGCCCTTTTTTCTGCAGATTTTTGGTAAATCTGCCAGAAAAATTATTTTAATCCTTGAAGACTGCAGAAAACCTTTCCGAAAAGTCTTGAAAATCCCAGTACCACATGGTTTAGACTCTGGCTCCTACTCTGAGCCGGTCTTGCCTCCAAATGACTTTTAAGGAGGAGTGAGAGGGAAGAACCTGCACAGAAAGCAAGGTGCTAACCCAAGATTTATTTTTATCCCAACTTTTGCTACCCTGAAGCAATTTTAAAAGAGAGAGAAAGTGGTGGTCTTAAAAGAACAGAAATTAATTTAAAACTACCTGAGATGCCCACTAAATACCAAACCCTAGAGGAAAAACCCTCTAAACAGATTAAAGCCTTTTCTTAATCCAAGCCCCAGTCAACTCCTTTTAAATCATCCAACTCCTCTGCTAGGGCACCAGCACTGGCCAAAAGCTGAAAGGTCTCTATAAGGAACAGTAATTTCAATGTGACATGAGGGCAAGATCTGTGACTCTGCAGTGCAGCCAGGGATGGTTTAGCCATAAAACATTGATTTTATATTACAGAATATATTCAAACAAAATAATCTGAAACTCCATCCTCAGCCAGTTTACAAGAGATAAAGATCCTGCTATGGATACTGGACACAATGGGCACATCCCAATAAATGCACACATGCAGGGGCATGCATTTCCTGCAGAACAAATAGCAGCAGCATATATTTGTGCTGCTGCAATTTATCTTTGGAAGTGCCCCTGCATGTGTGCTCTGGTGCAGGGCCAAGTGACCCAGGTGGGGTAAGGGAGGCTTGGGTCAGCACCTGTGCTGGCTCCAGCAGCCATATCTGAGGTCATGGAGGCCTCCTGGGGCAGCAGCAGCACCAAGCCAGCCACTCAGAGCCTGGTTGGCAGCTCTGGTCAGCCAGGCTCCAGTTTCTGGTGCCACATACTGCTGCCACATGCGCCACACCACTTTAAGTGACAGGTTTTTTTTCACACCAGAATCTCTCACTGTAAAAAAAAAAAAACAAAAAAACAAACAAAAAAAACTCACAGCACTGCAAATTAGCAGCACAGCAAATGGGTGCACATGACTGTGTATAGTTTGTGGCACCTCAAATGGGTTTGAGGTGCTACAAACCACACTTGTGTGCTTGTTGGGATGCGCCCAGTGGGTGCATGTTCAGGACAGAGCTTCACCTTCACCTCTGCATTACACTTGTCTTCATTAGAGATCAAAGCAAAAAAACAAAACAAAACAGCTGCTTAAAAAGTAACGCTATAACTGATAGGCAACTGAATTTTCCTTTAAGAGGGGCCAAGTTCAATCATCATTTGATTTCCTCACATTTTGGGCCAACATTCTGGCTCAGGTGCTCCTGCAAAGGATTCAGCCATTCTAATACAATAAGGGACTTAGTCTGTCTGTCTGTAACACTTTTGGCCAACTGTGTACTCACTGCCGAGAGGCTAGGAGGCGATTGGCTGCAGGGGCCCAGGTTTGAGCTAGGCCTGCGAGCAGCAGGGCTTCCCCATGCCTTCCTGCTTGAGGGTGAAGGGAGGGGGGGTCATGGTGGTGGTGCCCCCCCACCGCCTGTCTGATGACCCCCAGAATAGCCGGCAGGGAAGGGGAGGCGGCGGGCAGGGAGGGGAGCTGCAAGAAGTGAGGGGGGATCATGGTGGCAGCTGCTGTTTGGGTTGGGCAGCAGGGAAGAAGGGAGAGGGAGGGAGGGAAGAAGGAAGGGGGCCCCAACAACAGCTGGTAGCGAGGGGAGGTGGCAGGGAGGGAGGCTGTGCGGGCCTCGGTGGGCACAAGGTGGGAGGCGTCATGGTGGCGGCTGTTGTTGGGGCCAGGTGACAGGGAAGGAAGTAAGGGAGGGAAGCAGGGACAGGGAGGTCACAGTGGCAGCACCCCTGTGTTGCTCAACTTTGACAACAGCCAGCAGGGAGGAGGGGAGTGGGGAGGGGAGGCAGGGGGAAGCCCTGCTGTGAGGTGGAGGTGGGCGTGGGGAGGGAGCCCCTGCATCAGAGGCTGGAGGAGGCGGTGGTGGCGGCAGTGGAGGGAGTCTTTACATAGCCAGCCCCGAAGGGTGAGCAGCAGATGGGGGGGCCATGTAAACACTCCCTGAAATCTGTCATACTTGACAGGCAATTAGCGTGTGTGTGTGTGTGTGTGTGTGTGTACACACACACTAGCTAATTGCCTGTCAAGTATGACAGATTTCAGGGAGTGTTTACATGGCCCCCCCTCACCCTTCAGGGCTCGCTATGTAAAACAGAGGGAGTAAAGACTCCCCCTGCTGCCACCACCACCTCCTCCTCCAGCCTTGTGTGGGGGTGCCCACTTCCACCTCACAGCAGGGCTTCTCCCTGCCTCCCCACTACCCTCCTCCCTGATGGCTGTTGTCAGAGCGGAGTGGCGGGGGGGGGCACTGTCACATGACCCCCCCCTTCCCTGCCGCC